ATATAAGGAAAATCTCTCTCCTATGGGTTAGGTCACTGTCTCTCTCTCCTATGGGCTAGGTCACTGTCTCTCTCTCCTCGCTTCACCTTTCTCCCTCCTCCACTCCTCTTTCCCATCGCCTCTCTTCTCTCTCGTCGGTTCCCTTTCCCTTCCATTACCCTCCCCTTCAGAATCCATTGACACACCCACCAAAATCCAGATGAGTGAAGATGGAGGAGAGAGAAATTAGCTCCCGCCCTTTGCTGAGAAGATGAAAAATAGAGCTCAATCTTAGCTTTTCTTCCTCTTAGATGGAATCCATGCTGCCTTATGTGAATCTCTCATTTTCCTTTGCCTCATTTGCCATGGACAAATAAAACTCACTTCACCTCTCTCTCCATTCCTTTCACCAACCTCTGTTTCTCAAGCCCTATTGCCTGATGAGGTCATCTGCTTCCTTTGCAAACCTCTTTTAAGTTATTACGCTAATGGGAAGTTCTTTGGGGCTATCTTGGTTTGATATATAAACTCTTATAAATTTACTTTATCTTTCTCATGATTTTTTTTGGATGTAAGAAGGCAATAGACCTCCAGTCGTGGAATTTGGAAAGATATGAGGAAGAATCCCATGTGAAAGATTTAATGAGAAGAACTTGTCCTCTCCGATCTTTGTGTAGATACTTATGTTAAAGCTTTTTTTCCCTCTTCTAAACAAGTAGAATTTATGATAGATCTCAAGACATTGAATATAGTTTGGAGCCTTTATAACTCATTTCTAATTTTGCTATAAAATTTTCTGCTTTCTGTTTTTTATTTTCTTTCACTCCCTTGGGAATTTGTATTCTTGAACAATTTTTGTTCCTTTTCATTTATCAATGAAAAGTTCGTATCTTGTTAAAAAAAAATGATAGATCTCAAGACTGAAAAGAGAGCATAGCAAAATAGTTGTATTAAGTTTGTAAAGTATGTATGCCCCAAAGGGATAGATCGGTTGGGAAGGGCTTGGGGTCTCTTGGTCATACTGGCTTAGAGGTCATACTGTCTTAGAGGTCTCTAGTTCGAACCTTTTGGTGAGCTTAATACCAAAAGCCCTTGATTTCTCCTGGGTTCCGACCTTGAGGCGCGGATATAGTTTAGTGGTAAAATTGCGATTCGTTATGAGTTTGTAAGACCACGACTGGTCCTGAAAGGAATGAATGGAAAAAGTAGCATGTCGTATCAGTTAGAAATTTTGATATTTTGATATTTGTTGGAGTGCGGGTGCCCCTAGGTATAGGGGAGCAAAGCTCCGACTCCCAGTTATCCAAAAAAAAAAAAAATCTGTAAAGTAGGTATGATACTATCCAAGCTTTTGATTGATCTAGGATTCTACCTTCAAGAGTTTTCACTTTAGAACATTATTCAATTGTTGTTTGGGTCGAGTTTGCCTCCAAAATCTAGTCTTCTTTGGGTTAATGACTTCAAAGCTATTCTATCCGAGTTATGGTTCGAAAGAAATCAAAGGGTGTTTGAAGGAAAAAGTAGGTCACCACTTGAAAGCTTCAACCTTGCTAAGTTCAAAGCTTCTCAATAGTGTGCTCTCTCCGATTTATTTGTTAACTCTCCTAGTACTAATTGAGAGGTTTTTTTTTTTCTTCTAATTGGGAGACATTTATAACTCCACATTAGTTGTGATTCTTA